AGTTGTCTCTGTCAGTAAAGGGAGCGGAATCGGAACAATTAAGCATGTATACTTCCCAGACATGAAAATCTGTAATCCTGAAGCCTAGCGGGGCCCCGAGCCTTAAGCCGTATAGTAAAGCCTAAAAACCCAAACTTGATCTTAAGCACCTACAACCCTAAAATCTCTGAACCCTAGACTCTACATTCCCTAAACCCAAAACCCTAAACCGGTGTCAAAAAAAAACTCTGCCATCCGAATCCGTGGAGGAGGATTACGTGGCGGTGGGTTTGGAGATTGACGTGCAGGTGCCATGGCGAATGGACACGAAACCCTGAATCCCAAAACCCTAAAGCCCTAAAGCCCTAAACCCTAAACCCTGAAGCCCTAAAGCCCTAAAGCCCGAAACCTTAAACCCTAATCTCTAAACCCAATGGATGTGCACCAGGGTAGGGAGCTTTACCATACGAGTCCAAGCAACTGATAGCATGTTATGCTAAACTCGATTTACAAAGGGTTTAGGGTTTGGGGTTTAGGCCCAGGCTGTAGATGGATGCAGAGGGTTGAGGTTTTCAGAAAGTTTTTTGATCTGGTATTTGATGGACGTGTGGTTCTTGCAGTCAAACTCCACACATGTGTTCACGACTTAGGTTTTCGTTAGGGTTGTTGCTTTTCGGCATTCCTTACTGTAATTATAAAATATGGCCCGAAGCCCTTTATTGATGCCCCTATGCCACGGAACCCCGAAACCCTAAACCCTAAAAGCCTAAAGCCCATGAGCCCTAACCCCATGAACCCTGAACCCTAAACCCCCAAACCCTAAACCCTAAACCCTAAACCCCTAAACCCTAAACCCCGAAACCCTAAACCCTAAACCCTAAACCCCTAAATCCCTAAACCCATGAACCCCAAACCCCGAAACCCTAAACCCTAAACCCCTAAACGGAAAACCCGTAAACCCATGAACCCTAAACCCCAAAACCCTAAACCCATGAACCCATGAACCCTAAACCCATGAACGGCAGTCTAGCAAGGATGCCCCTGGCTCCGAATCATGCACGCTGGTGCTCCTCGTCTCATCGACAGTAAAATTAGTGTTTCCGGTTTAGGGTTTCCGGTTTAGGGTATAGGGTTTAGGGTTTAGGGTTGGGGTTTAGGGTTCAGGGTTTCGGGTTTACGGCGTGTTATATAATGTAGGGGCCTAAATAATTGTTACCTATAATTACTATTTTTTGGGTGGGTTCCTTATTATAAGTATAGTATAATGGGCTCAAAACCCTATTCTAGTTATTAAGGCCCCTATATTGAGGTCTGAATAAGTATTGCTTGCACTTCCTTAGTTGGTAGTCCTTATATAAGTATCGTATACAGAGCAAGTCATACGATCCAGGTATATACTACCAGGGCTACCATTATATGGAATTAGACCATCCTTATCGTAATTCCGTAGTAGTAGCGTCTATGGAGCTTCTTAGAAGAATTATTACCCCAATCTCCTTGCAGCTGTTATTATGGAAACCTCAATAGTAGAACCCGTCTTATCGAACTTACAAGGGACTTTAGTTTAGGGCTTAGGGAAGAATAAGCCGTAAATCCTAAACCCTAAACCCGAGCCCAATTGAGGCTGTCAGAGACTTCCTTCCCTGACGTGGTGCGCTTTCATCGAGGAGCTGAGTTCGTGCTCCGGAGTTGTTTCGTCTTGAGGGTTGTATGGGCTTTAGGGTTTAGGGTTGTTGTTTTTTGGTGGTGCCCGCAGAAGGTTACGAGTTTAAGGAAAGGGAATGGAGGGTGAGGGTGGTTGTGGGGTGCTCCAGGATGTTGTTGGTATGGTTTGGGGTTGAACTAATAAGTAAGTATTGGTATTTGTTCAGGGTTCCAATTACAAGTTTATGGTATACACCCCACTTCAACACGAAAACAGTTTTTGTCCCATTTGTCATGCCTCTGTATTACGGCTTGCGGGGCGCAGAGTTAACTGCACTCCAAACCCCAAATCCTAAAGCCCGAAGCCAAAAGCCCTAAACCCTAAACCCCTAAAACCCAAAGCCCAAAGCCCAAAGCCGGAAAGCCCAAAGCCCTAAGCCCTAAATCCTAAACCCTATATAAACCCCGAAACCCCTAAACCACTAAAGCCCAAGGCCCTAAGCTTTTAAACCCTAAGCCCCTAAAGCCCATGAGCTTTAAACCCCTAAGCTGGGTTCGCGGAGTTGAGGGGCCCTAAACCCTAAACCGGACTTAGTGATCTCGGGTGTTGGTGTTCGGAACCCAAAGGTTCCCTATGCTTCGGGGTTTAGGGGTTTGTAGGGTTTTAGGGTTTAGGGCTTCACAGGTTTAGGGGTTCAGGGTTTTAGGGTTTAGGGTTGTTTAGCGTTTTAGGGTTTAGGGGTTTAAGGGTTTAGGGTTTAGGGGTTTAGGGTTTTAGGGTTTTAGGGTTTTGGGTTTAGGGTTTATCGTCCTTCAGGGTTTTAGGAATAAGGCTTTATCGGGCTTCATGGTTTTAGGGTTTAGGCTTTAGGGTTTAAGGGTTCAGGGTTTAGGGTTTAGGAACTTCTTGGAGGCCTATGTATATATACTATGTAGGTAAGACAGGGGCCTAAATAATTAGTGTAGGGTTTTGGGGGGCTCCCTATAATAATAATAATAATATAGTCTAATGATTAAGGCCCAGTAGTACATGATGGTACATGAAGCCTTGGGGCGTGGGATCTGTGGGGTTAAAGAGTTCAGGGTTTAGGGTTTAGTGTCTAGAGTTTAGGGCTTGGGGTTTAGGGTTTAGAGTCTAGAGCTCAGGATTTAGGGTTTAGGGTTTATAGGGTTTAGAGTCTAGAGCTCAGGGTTTAGGGTCTAGAGCGTGGAGCTCGGGGTTTGGGGGCTTTCCTTCTCGAAGCCTCTGAGGCCCGGAGACAGAAACTATGCGGTCGTCTAGGCCGGTAGGGACTAGTTCTCCCAACTATAGCTCCAACGAACCCTAAAGTCGGGTTTCGAATTTGTGGATTGAAGCTTCCGGGATCAGCATAGAGCCCCAAGCCCCACTAGAAAAAAACAGAGCCTCAAACGCCCAAACCTTTCACCCTCTAAGCCTTCATTTGATACGACCTCCCTGAGCCAAAACCCTAAACTCTAAACCTCCCTAGACCATAACCCCTCATCCTAAGCCCCAGTCCCGAAATCATCCTAAATCCGAGATCCGAAACCCTAAACCCTCGAACCCTAAACCCTGTATGACCCTTGAAGGAACCTTTAGAGGAACCCTTCAGGAACCCTAAACCCTAAAACCCCAAAACCCTAAACCGTAAAACCCTAAACCCTAAAAAAAAAACCCGAAACCCTAAACCCGAAACCCAAAACCCTAAACTTTATAAGCCTTAGACCTTAGACCGTCCCCGAGGTGCAGCTTTGCCTCCGTCCGGACCCGGACCAGGCAACTGCAGACCCTCAGGCCTGAAGTCGGGTTGCCTTTCGGGGATTTCGGGTTTAAGGTTTAAGGTTTAGTGTTTAGGGTTTAGGGTCTAGGGTTTAAGGTTTAGGGTTTAGGGTTTAGGGTTTAAGGTTTAGGGTTTAGGGTTTAAGGTTTAGGGTTTACGGCTTGTTCGTCTTGCGTATCTGCTTAAGATGTGGCTGCTGGTTGGAATTTGCTGAAATAGTGGCCCCAGTAGAAGCCCTGTTTGCAGGTTCAAGGGTCTAGTTTACTGTATTTCCGATGTAGAGTGGCTGGGATGCCTGTATTTGCGGAAAGAAGGAGGCCAACGAAGGAGCTGCAATGGAGGATCAAGTGTGTCGGGATCGGGTTCAAGCCTAGCTGACCAAAACTGTAAACCCTAGCGCTTAAGCCCTAAACCCTGAAGCCCTAAACCCCAAGTCGTGAAACACCCTACCGTAATGGACGGGTCCGGCTATTGTCTGAAGGGTTCCTATTTATTTGAGTCCTATACGGTTTTTGTTTTGATTCCTACTCTAAGCATTGATGTCTCTACGACAGACTCTACGACACCCGAAACCCTAAACCTTACACCCTAAACACTAAACCTTACACCCTAAACCCTAAACTAAAAAAAACGAACCCTAAACTCTATCCCAGGGCTTGGGCTAGAATCGGCTAGAGTGGCGAGTGCTGGGGCCTGCTTCAGAGCCCTGTTTTTGAAATGACCAACGCCAGAGGATTGGGGTTCAGGGGTTCAGGGCTTAAGCGGGTTTAGGCTGAAATTCGCAGCCCTGCTTGTCTTTTCGCAGTTTGTTACGGCTTCTACAGGGTTTAGGGTTTAGGATTTCGGGTTCAGGTGCCCCTAGACCCTAAACCCTGTTATTGGTCCATCGAAGAGCACTAGAGCACTAAGATCCCAAGCCCCAACGAGAATGTATGGAGCTTTCCGACAGGGCAGGCTTTGCCTGGACTCTCGACTGTAGGACGGGTTTAGACTTCAGGGTTCAGGGTTCAGGAATTTAGGGTTCGGGTTTAGGGTTCAGGGTTTAGGGTTTAGGGGTTCGGGTTTAGGGTTCAGGGTCGAAGGTTCGGGTTTACAGTTCCGAGACTGAGGCAGCCAAAACTGCATTCTAGGTTCTAGGTGCAACACTAGAAGCCCCCAAGACTCCATGTATAACGGTTTAGGGTTTATAGGGTTTTAGGGTTGCCCCCAAGACTCCATGTATAACGGTTTAGGGTTTGGGGTTTAGGCTTTAGTGTTGAGGGTTTTAGGGTTTAGGGTTTAGGGAAAGTATATCTGGGAACCGCTTTCTAAGGCCTAGGTTCTATTATATGCACATGTCATGGAGCCTTGAGGAAGGTTTAACGACGCCTTATTGTGGTTGGTCATCGAAGTAGCCTACGGAGGGTTGCTGTACTTCAAACTATGCTCTCTACTGTCTGGCCGTCAGCAGATGTCTGTTCGGGGTTTAGGGTTTAGGGTTCCGCATTCAGGGTTTCCGAAAAAACTTCCGCAGATGCGTCGAGCTTGGCTTAGACTGTCGGTGTTGTCCGCAGAAGTCTTGTGGCAGACTCCTCCTCTATTTTGCGCTGCTTTGCCATGGCTGCTGGAACACCCGTTACATTGAACATATATGATGTGAGTGGACATCCGATACTCAAGAACGCCAACAAGCTATTTCGGGCAGTTGGTGCTGGCGCTTACCACGCGGCTGTGGAGATCAATGGTGAAGAGTGGTCCTATGGAGGCTGCGACGGAGGGACCCTACAGCCCAAACCCTGAAGCCTGAACCCTTAATTATCCCTACACCTTTGGGGTTTAGGGTTTAGGGGTTAGGGCTTTAACCCTAAACCCTATGCAGGCTGCGACGAAGGCACTGGGGTTTTTACGTGCAGCCCACGGCAATGCGAGGCTCACAGCTTCCGTGAGTCGATACCTATGGGCCACACGGCCTTGACCAAGGACGAGATAGATGCGGCTCTAGAATCCTTAAGTGCATCCTGGCGGGGCCCTGACTACGATATCCTGAGACATAACTGCTGCCACTACAGCAACGACATGCTCCGGGCGCTGGGGCTACCGTCTGCTCCTGCTTGGGTCACCCGTTCTGCCGACCATGCCGCCAAGGTGGTGACGCCCGTAGAAGAAACGATTGCAGAAGGCAAGATGTCTCGTGGTGCCGAAGATGATGGCTACAAGTTGTTGGGCCTTGCTTCAGACTTGCTTGGTCATGTGTAGTTTAGAGAAGGAATACAACGCACAAGTGCACTAGTGGGGCCAAAACAATTACCAATACGTTTCTTGTTGTCTTTTTTTGGGGGGGCTCCTTAAGATAAGTATATTGTGTATTTTTGTATAAGATAGCCCAAAGCCCTATTCCGTTTATTAAGGCCCCTACATTACACGGCTTTGCGAACAGCTCAGGTTTGGTGACATCAGCCGAGGCATCGTCGCCAGCGGGAAGGCCAGCAGAGGCGCCGCGGCGGAGGAGGGTTACTGGGCTTTGGAGTACCATACTTTAATATTATGTTTTGGGGGACCTGTTCCTTAAAGGAACCAATATGAAATAAAAGTCTATACTTTTTTCAACCCTAAACCCTAAACCCTTATCCCTAAACCCTACTTTTTTCTCCCTGGTTACTTCAAAGCCCAGGTTACAAGTTCGGCGACTTCACTCGCGGCTTCATCTCCAAGCTGAGCGGATGAGTCTTCGAAGTTGAAACCCTAAACCGGTTCAGGGTTTAGGGTTTAGGGTTTAGGGTTTAGTTTAGGGTTTAGGGTTTAGGGTTTAGTTTAGGATTTAGGGTTTAGGGTTGCTGCAACGGCTCCTGAAAGAGTTCCATAGAAGGCTCTCTCAAGGT